TGTAAAATTCCACACGTTCCAACAAAGTTTCGACATTGGATTCACCGCCACGCTCAAAGACACGGCGTTTAGCGACGATTAAATAGATCAGTTCCATTTGTCAACGAGAAATACCGTCACAGAAAGGAGAGAGAGAGAGAGAGAGAGAGAGAGCATTGGAAAGCATCTCGTGCAATTTTCGTCGTCGGGGACGGAAGATCGACCGTTTGAAAGCTGGAACTCAGGCGACGAATCGATCGACCAAAACGATTCGTAGAAGCGGCATCCCCTTTGAGGGGAGGAAAAATTCTGGAAATTGAGAATACAGAAGCGTATTCTCGAGAATCGGAATGAATGCCGTCCTTTTACAGGAACAAAGCCTATTATTATACGGTTCAAAAGAGCACTTTCCAGATTGATGTATAAAAAGATGTATTGCTATAAAATAGAAAGCTATGATTATGACGGTCAATTGTTGCACCCTTGGCAACGCTCGTCTCCTACCTGAAATTCTGCCATCCAACCTGGAACCTGTCTCGGTTCCATTGTGCCGGGAGGAGGGAGGGGGAGAACTTTCCTGTGATTTGAGCTCTCCTCGATGTGCTTGCTTGCATACCTTAACGTTAAGATTATGCATCGTGTATGCACCGGGTCTGGTGTGATTGTAGTACTTGTTGAATGCTCGTATATACGTGTGCCGTAGCATATATATACGTTGTATATTTCGTATATTGGAAATTGTTAATTTTATATTATAAGAAAGAGTGTAATGAAATTGGTTCTTAATCATTATTATTATTATTTTCATTTTCTAAAAGAGTCTATCTACAACAAGTAACGCATTCAAATTTTATTCGAAATATCATCGATATTTACCGAAATACTGGAATGGATTTAAACGAAACACTCTGTCATATTGATATATCTATGGAATATTTTTAGAAGCCAAAAGAAACACAAAAGTTCAATCGTTTATAACTCGTGTTCCACGAACTATTAATTATCCACATCATTATATAACAAATTGCAAATCTAGAAAATAATTTACATATTTCGTTACAAAATACATTTAAATGGAAACAACGTTGCAAATATTCCATCATCAAAATTGAAGACAGAAACACGATTTATACAAACAAATCGAACATCAGTTTCTCCAAAATTATCCACGATCTCGAATAATCGTCCCACGTTACATTATCGTTATGCCGTACAAGCCCCCCTTCCCTCCCTCCCCCCTCCGTGTATGGACACGTCTCCTATGGTTTAAGTTCTAATGGGGCGCGATTTATCGCGGCAGGGAGCGAATTATCCGTGCAATTTGTTCTGTCGGCAGATTCGCCGCGAATTCGCCAAGTTTCAACTCGTCCCCCCCTCCTCCCCGTAGACGCCATCAACGAAATGTTCTCCTCTAATTGAAAACGAACCTATTCCGGTTACATGGTCCTGGGAAGCTGTCGTTAGATGGCACGAGATTAGCGAAGATTATTCAAGATTAGACCCAAGAATTAGTCCTGATACCGTGCAGCAGGGGACGAGGACGCCACCTCCTCGCTTCCATCACCCGGAAATATAGGGGAATCGTGTCGTCGAATCTGTGAAACGAGGAAGAGGAGCGTTTCGCGTGGCGTGGCGTGGTTGAAAGGGCGGCGAAGCGAGCCGAGGCATCGGGCACAAAGCACAAGTGAAAACCGTGGGAAACGGGGGAAGGATGGCGGGCATGATCCGGCGGTTTCGTTCCAGTCGATTTTGAAGCGTTATTGAAGCTTGGCCGTGTCGATTCAATGAATGTTGCGGATTGTTCCCCGAGAATCCTGCAGCGATTCGGTTTGGTGAATCTTAATCGGTCGATCGCGTTCAATGATCGCTGGAAAAAAATTGAGAATTGTGAAAAGTAACGACATCGATAGGATTTGAGAAAAATTCTTTTATAAATAGGAAGGTTTTTTAAATTCTTCTACTCGTGTGTGAATTTATATATATATATATATATGTGTGTGTAATGAATAGAAGGATCAATCTAGCGCGTTGAAATTAAAACGAGCATAAAGAGATCGCTGGAAAAAAATTGAGAATTGTGAAAAGTAACGACATCGATAGGATTTGAGAAAGATTCTTTTATAAATAGGAAGGTTTTTTAAATTCTTCTACTCGTGTGTGAATTTGTGTGTGTGTGTGTGTGTGTGTGTGTGTGTGTGTGTGTGTGTGTGTGTGTGTGTGCGAGCATAAAATGCGCGCGTATTATTCTGCACATATTTGAAACGCACGTAATAGTGCTTAATAATCGCAACGGAATCGATTATATCAGTCCGACCGCTCTGCGAGATACGTTTAATGCGGAGTTTAGTTACAGCAAACTACTGTCATCCCACGTTCGTGTCGTTCCAATATTGGTGTGGAACAAAATCGGATTATCCAGCATTATGACAATTTCCTCGAGAATAGTCTGATATCATCAACGTGTTCGTATTTGTCTCGCAGCAAGAATTGAAATCGAAATGTCTCTGATACATTTATATATATACGCATCGATTATGCGATTATATTAATTCGATGTTTTAAAGGAGAAATTTATTAAAAGAGGAGAAAAATAAAATAGAAAGAATCGAGAAGGAAGCAATTGTTTTTAACGGAAGAAGAAATAAAAGAAGAAACAAATCCGATAAAAATATCTCGTCGTTGGAATGGAAAACGAAAGATTGCACATATTGTAGAAAGAAAATTAATTAACGAATCCGATTAATTGTCCGTTATCGAAAAATTGAAATTAATCATCGCAAGATTTTCTTTTCTTTAAAAAAAAAGAAAAAAAAAACGACGAAGAGAAGTCTTTATTTCTCGACTGTTCATCATCATCGATGCACAAAGAATCGCGATATCGTATCGATATCTCCAGATAAAACGTGCAGTCTTACTTGAGCTATCGTTACGAGAAAAGAAAAGAAGCGAGGAGGGAGGAAAAAAAAAAAAAATGTAATAAAGCGGATTCTTTGGAAAGTTTACATACCGCTTTGACTGAAAACACTTGCTCTGAAACCAATATACCGAGGGATTACAAAGTTTCCGCCTCGAAGTTACGTCGCATCGCCATTAAAGTTCGCCAGTTACCATCGGAAAATAATCCGCGTACCATGAGCCCGACGTCGTGTATTTAATTGCTTGTTCTTTCTCAGCCGTTCTAATTTCTCAACTGGACGGAAAAATTATTCACGGATTGCTGAACTCGAATTAAATTTTACGAGTATTAGCGATGAAATTAACTTGCAACTTGTTTCTTCTCTCTCTCTCTCTCTTTCTCTCTCTAGTAGTTTCAATTTTTGTTCGTTCGAGGATAAAAAAGAAAAAATTCTTACGTTACGATTCGTTCATAAAACGTATTATGAAAAAAGAAAAAAAAAATTTTCACGAGAGAAACCAGCTTTTTATTTTCTCGATGGTTATAAATTTGTTGAACATTCAGACAATACTCTCACTTATACAGTCACGGGTGTACTTTGAAATTGTGATAAACGCGAATATATAATTCATATCCTTGACTTGCTAAAATACATAAAAGGGGGTTATGATTATTAATGGCTCGTTTCTTGGTTCCGCAATTTTATTGTATTATGCGCTGTTTACACGTGTACACAAGCGACCTGAAAAAATGTAGATTCACTACGAATAAACGTTACGAGTAGACGAAAAAAAGAAAAAAAAGAATGTTATATGATTTATATATCGTGAATACTATTTCAAAATCTTTAAACACGAAGTTTAACAATTATAATATTTATAAATTGCTTAAAATTACGTTGAATCTTTTTTTATTCAAATAATGGATTGAGAAAAAAATATTTCGTTCATATTTGGTACTGATTTATTGTGTAATAAACCGTTTAACACTAATCTTCTCGTGTTACAATCTCTTTGGCGATTTACACATATCCGTAAAAATATTATAATCTACAATAAAGATCGCCGCCATTTGACAGCGCTGCAATCGACAAGTAATCGTCATCGTATACTCGTATTAATCACGTGTATTTCAATAGAAATAACATCTAACAATTTGAATCAATTACAATCACGAATGTTTATTCATATTATTTTTTAATTAAATAAACAATAGATACGAATATACCGATTTAATTGTCGATCAGGTGGTGTCAAATGGACGATAACTCTGTGTCATAAAATGTTTCATAGATTATATAGAACGATTACCAGTGACGAATAGTTGAGCAATCCAATGGAATTAACTAGAGTGGAGAAGATACGAATCGAAAAGTTGTGTAGAGACGCTTCTTTCTTTTTCTCTTCTTCCTTCTTCGAATAAACGATAATAATATCGATGATGTAATAGTAATAAATAATGTAGTATCATTGAAAACGGATAAAAAAGATTTTTCATCGTGTTTTCTCGTTCGTCGTGTTATCGAATAGGGGAAGGGAACCTCGTTCGTCAATTTCAGTTTTCAAAATTTCTTTTTGATCAGGGATGTACATCCGACGATACTCGAACCTGTGCAAATAATTAAAGAATAAGATCGATGCCTGTGATTTCTATTAATTCACAGCTTATTATAACAAAGCAGATTTAATTTTCAATCGTATAAGGACGGGGATCAATGATAGAAAAAACGAGTAATAGTATCGACAAGTGAAAAAAAGTGAAGTGAAACAATGATAAATCACTTTTTACCAATGAAATGATAAAAACACAAAAGATTTTACAAAAATAACGAAGAACGTATCGGAATTTTTATATGACGACGTGTCGAATTTTTATCGAGAAATTTTTTTTTTTAAAATCGATCAATGTAAAATTTATGTTCAATATAATATATCATGTGATCGAAATATGTAAAAGCTACGTTCTACGAATCATCGTCAATTCAAATATTTGCACGAAACACAATTTCCCTTAGATAAATATAAAATATTCGCATATTCCAAAAAAAATAAATAAATAAATTAAACCTCGAAATCTGATAAAATTTGCATGAAAAAAAAACGAAATAATATAAAAAACATGCAAGTACTTTTCAACCGATCCATCTTACCGATTCTATCAAAACGCTCTAAACTTCGCACGTCACTGGCTACGTTCTAAGAATCCAACAATACAAAATATCGATTCTCGTCGGTTTAATTGCACTCGACACAAGCCAATTCCATTCCTCTTTTCTCCCCATTGTTCCATGAATACAACGAGAGAGACGTTCTCCATAATCTTGCTTCTTGTACAATCTTCAATCTAAATCTTCGAAAGGAAAGAAAACGGGAAACATCGTGGTTTCCAGAGCGGCAAAAATCGATCCCAGATTTAAAAAAAAAAAAAAAGAGACTCTTAAATTACAGACAGTTAACGAGGTATACCATGGTTCAGTTTAAGTTCCACCGACCTCGTTTCCCTGTTTTCGTGTACGTGCCGCAGAAACTCACCGGCAGATATATTTATTCCTCTATCCCCGCATGGCAAGTCCCTGATGACTTTGGTGATCCGTGAGTGGAAGCGGTAAACGGGCTTATTAGTTTCGTTTAAGGTGAACGGAATGAAGCGGAACTACGAGTAAACCGGCCACTTGATTGCCGTGATCTTTTGCTGCCTCTCTCCTCCACACTGCCAACAACTCCTCTCTCCCGTTTTCATTCTTCTTCCTCCCTTTCATTCCTTTCATATAAATTTCCTCTCGTCGACTCGTTTTGCAAATATCGATCGTTCAATGCTACCGTGAATATGATTTTCGATACGTTAATTGATACTTTTCGGTAAATATTGTATATGATACAACGCGTTTCGAATAATTCGAATGATGGCTCGAAAAATAATTCTCCGTCCGAATATTTTTTTTCCCCTCCCTTCGTGTTTATGGGATTATGGAAATGGGTGGATTTGGTTCTCTGGTTGATAAGAATTGATAAATACTTTCACTGCTAATAATATTATTCTATTGACGATAGAAAATTGACATTATCGAAAACACCTATGCAGCATTAACGCAACTAACGTATTAATTACTCGAGACTTGAATAAAATTAACGTGTTTCAATGTTGATATATAATAAATTACAATTCTCACATCGCGAAATTTCTCAATATCCATCGAGTTATTATATAAAATCTCAAAATGGCGCCGATTTAAGACACCTTTATAGGCCTATTATGGACTATCGTTTCAACGGTCTCTGGTTTTGATATATGAATCGAATAAACCAAACGTTTGAGTTTGATCCAAAATTATTTCATTCTTACCTGAAACCAAGTTTGTACGATGAGTGTGCACATGGATATAGAAGTTAACGGTCGATCCATAAACTTGACGTTTCGTGTTTACAGTGTCCTCTGTTACATCGAAGTGTTTCTCCTCCTCGACTAAGGTAAAAGATATGTGAGATATTGAGACGATCTACATACACGTGATATGTCACCGATTGACCGGGACGGATATTAGCGGAGTTGAAGCAGGAAAATACCGATCGAGGGCTTGAGGGCTATGGACCTCGGCATCCATCCATGCAAGAAGTTTCCTCTTTACGTGTGTAATGTAACGTGCGAACGATTTGCATATCGAACTTTGGTTTTGGGTAAATCGGCCATCTTGGTTGCTTATCATTTAATCACCGTTATTTAATAAATTCATAAATGTTAAATTTAAGGAGCGAAATCGTGAGCCGAGCATCGAAACTCTTGGACAGGCGTGGATAGAGGGTGGTCACGAAGTAATTGATTATTTTATCGATTAATGTAAGATAAATGTCATTATCGCCGGGCTATGAAGGGGATCTTGCGACGTGGAAAAGATATAGCAGCTGATAAAGTCGGTTTGAGTAACGATCATTAGCCGGCACATTAACCATCATTTTCTTCACTTTAAAGCGGGTGAAACATTTTTCAAACGTTGCGAAAGATCGGTAAAGCGGGATCAAACGCAACAATGGATGGATCGATTTTCAGGTATGAAATAAACGATGCGAAAATCGCTACGTGATCTGTTTGAATTTATAAATAAACGCGAAAACCCTTGAAACCGTTGTTCAACTTCAAATATTTAATGCTGTAATCTGACATATGTAGATCGTTCGCGACACGAAATACAAAATATATATTATAGAAAACGATCCGGTCTTCGATTCGACGGTGTGAAAAATAGAACAGTCAATCGATTAGACCGTCGACGATACGTTCGAATGTTCGTATCGCCCGTTTACAAACGTTTTTTTTTTTTTTTTTTTTAAAAAAACGTTATGGCACAAACGTGTCAGGTAGAAGAAATCAGAGGCCACACCACCATTTTTGGGACGATCACGTTGGATCGGCATCACGTTCGATGAGTGGCTCGCGCGACGAGTGTGAAGAAGGACGGCGATCAAGATCTCGTGAAAAGTCAACGAAATCTTCGACGAACTTTTCGTCAGTGGGCGTTCTTCATCATCTTTAAGGGGTCGCGCATGTAACGGGCGAAAACCTCTTTCTTGAACGTCTCGAAGTGTTTCCTGTTGGCACTGTTCTGCCGTTCGCGCCAAGCCGGCCTCGTCTTCCTGGTCTGCAGACCCCAGTGACCCGTGAAAACAGGGGAAAGGACCTTGAATTGGTAACCAGCCACGAACATTTCGTACACCTATGCACAAAACAGAGAAATCATTCTTTTAGTTTGTCGATGTATGCGCGTTTTCTAAATAAAATAATTAAATTACAGGTGTGTGTTGATGAGAAGATGAAGAAGAAGACAATGTTTCTAACTCTTTTCTAGCAACGTGTCTTTTATTATATCTCACGTTGAAAAATATTGATTTATAAGAAAGAAGGAAATAAGAAATCATTTCGTATTTCAAATAAGCATTTCGCTTCGACTTTGCTTTCAAGACTTTTTCTCGACAAATAATATTCGATAATAATATCCAATTTCGATAAAGGAATTTGAATATTTAAAGTTTTTTACATTGAAAGTTTTACACAGTTCTAAGAATAAGATATCAAAATATGAATTTAAATTTTATACACCTGAAAATTGCACGACTGATTTAGAATTTACTTGACATCCATCCAATTTTAGTATGCTATATCTTAAAACAAATATGAACAAGCAAAAAAAATCCAATTGATTTTTTGATTGAAATTCTAATTTACATTTTTCAACGCGACTTTTCCTAGCAATTGGATTAACTGAAGCTAGCGTAGATTCGCGTGAAGTTTAATATTTTGAACGACACAAGAATATAATTTGTTCAATTAAACCTGATTAAAGTTGCTTTAATCAACAAGAGGAAGAGGGGAAAAAATAAAAAATTTATTCTCTGTTTCTCTGTTTCAAGGATTTCTATAAATGAAAACCTCAAATACTATGGTATAGCATGTAAAATCCCTGACAATGGCTGTTACACATTTTTTCCCGTGTTTTCAAATCAAAACGTGAAACAAACGTTGCCCAAATTTTCCACGTTTCACAACTTGTTCGCGAAATTGAAAAAGTATTCTTACGTCTGTTGCATGCTCTACACGCAGAGAAAGTCCAAAATGGAAAACATGGATGGATACAATGAAACGACACGTAAAATTACAACAGTTTCGCTGTTTCTTCCGCTTTCTCTAAGTTCTTTTCTCCTCCTCCTCCTCCTCCTCCTTCTTCTTCTTCTTCTTCTTCCTTATGCGGAAAATCATCGAATAAAGTTTCAGAAAATTTTTCGTAGATATCACACGCGAACGTAGTGATATTACCACACGAAACACTGTGTTTCCTACATTAGAATAGTGGAAGGAGGAGGACGCCTGGCAATCTCGTCCTACGTTCGCCAACTGAGACAGGTCAGACACGCCTAACAGACATTGCTGTTCTCCGGTATGGATGCGTCTTCGTGAATAATCATACGTAACAATGGCAACTCATACGTGACAGTCGCGCGTAAACCCGGTAGACAGGTTGTGATTATCAAGAAATAATAGTATTCCTGTTTCGACGTTTCGTAATTGCGCCAAACTTACGACGAGTAAAGTGCATCGAGTCACGTTAATGCGATTAACGTTCGATAATTTTCAATGATTTGGAAAAATTTGTTGATAGACGTGTCTTGACTTTTCATTATTATCGTGACAAAAATTGCAATCGTTTGTTGAAAATTAATATCGAACATTGTTTTCAATCGTCAAATTTTTTTTTCAAAGATAATAATAATATTCCCGAATCCGAAAAAGAGGAAAGGAATTGTAATTAACATCATCGTGTGTGAATAATGTTTTTTTAAAACGCAAAGTTTCACGAATCTTCCTAAAGAAGAATAATGTTTTAAGGGCTCGGAGAGAGAAGATAAGAGAGACACGGGTATCGCCCGTAATTAACGTAGAGGAACGTGGAGGATCTACAATGCGGAAATGCGCCAATAACGCCTCCCACGACGTCCAAAATTGATAGACGACGTGTAATCTTCAGTTCACCGTTTCAGAGACGACCAGTGAATAATTATATGTACGCAGAGGCAGAATGACATAGTGCTACAGTTTCCAGGACCGGTATTGTTAATCACGCGAATTCTATCGTAAGAACGTACCTCCATCTATTGTCGTCCAATCATTCAAACATAATCTCGTTTATGCAACTGTGTACACTTGAATGAATTTCATTTCGACGATGACAACTTGAATATTAAAATACGATCTTGAAGAAAATATAAATCCTCAACGCACGATTTTATTTTACGTATGAAAATAATAATTTTACAATAATTTATAGCGATAATTGTACTCTTTTAATCTTTGAATTTAATGGACTTAATGCTAATAAGAAGTATTATTAATTTGATCGTTGATTCTCATCAAATCATTCATTAAAGAAGGATAAATTTAAAATCCAAGTTTTATTTTTAGATTAGACTGATTCGATCAATCTGATGAGATATATTATTAAATCATCGTTAAAATTATTATACATACACCTTTGATTAGAGAGAAATCTGGTGCCGAGACTGGAAATATTAATTGCGTGCAATGGTCGAACGCCATCCTTAATGTAAACACTTGCCTCGTTGATTAGTAAAACTGAATTGCCTGTGTAACGCGCATTGCACACGATTATACATCTTAATTAGTCAGTGGACGGGAATTAATTCCCTTTACAGCATTTCCCGTGGGTCACATTCTTGCGGCCGTGGTGTAAAACATTTCTGGCTCTTGGAGCACGAGCCACTCATGGGGCACCTGTTTGTCCTGAATTTCGAGGGAACACAGATTGCATTAAACAACGTAACGAGTTGACGTATCTTCCTAATTACCCGGCCCGGACACTTTGCTTTGGCCGAAGAATTCCATTTCTGCATCTAAAATAATCACAGACAGACAGACAGACGACAAAGAAAGAAAGTTTCGAGTTAATTTTTATTGGTCAACGAGATGAATAACGAAACGAGTAAAAACAGAGATATACAAGATTTGAATGCAAAATAAGATTGGGGGCTAATTACGAAAGTATACGCATTGTTAATATATTATTCTTCTTGATATCAAAACGATGACAAAAGTTTATACGAGCGTGTGTTTTAATTAATTACAAGTTCACGTTAGATAAAGCGAGATGGAAATAGAATGAGATCGCTCCATCTTCCTTATTTTGTTCGCTCTCGATTCGCTTTATCCTACTACTAATTTAAATTTTCTAACTAAGTTATAATAATTTTAATAGATATATGCGTGTCTGAACTTTTTTCATCGTTTTAATGTATAAAATTCATCATTCAAAGCTATTCCACGTTTTCAGATACGTCTCATTTTATTTTATACGTATATATTTTGTAAACCAATTTTGACTTTTCTAGAAATTCGATCCTCAAAAAGTGTGAATATATCAACATCCTAATAAATCTGTTTCAATTAATTATATAATTTCATAAACAATCTCCGTTTAAAATACAAATATCTGTATCAAGATATTTTAAATTACGATATACGAAAGAATTGTTCTTTGTTTCGAACAATTCGTTTCAACGTAGAACAACAAAGCTTTGAATATCCGAAATTGCGGTTAGAATAACCGCTAAAACTTTTCAAAAGCAAACGGAATGATCCAAGGTATTTAACATATTCCAGACTCCGTTTAGCCCCAGTCTATTCAAACGATATCCAACCGTTGTAAACTGTAAATTTACGCAATTTTGGTAGATCCAGCTAACGATCGTTCTTTCGTTTGGCCTGCACTGACAGCATATTCCTTTTGCAGGTCTCTCCCCTCCGGATGCCGCCAAGAGGAATACGAAATGCTGAAACCTTTGCGTTCACACTAATCATTAACCTTCGTACATGGACACACTTGCACCGTGGAACACCGAACATCTTGTTTATTTATAAGTATTTACACGACTGTGTGTGCACACAACGTTATCAAACGTAGAATTATTTCTGGACCAAGGAAAGGATGTGACGAAAGGAAGGAAATTCCCGGTTGTTGCGCTTTTGCGCCCTCTTCTTCCAAGAATTAGAAATTTGCCGACAGATGGCTCTGATGATACGAAAAAGAATCAACTTTCGAAGGAAGGAAAATTACGAAAAGATGAAAATAAAAGGTTTACCTCTTTTTTTCTTTTTACTATATTCTATCTCGTTTTTATTATTTTTATACACTAAATAGTGAACGTGGAAATAATTCAATCATTGACTTGCAATTTCAATTAACTTGCAATTTCGTACGTTTTTATCAAGTCTTGTATCTGCAACTGTTTCGAAGAAAATGTGTGTAATACAAGGATAATGGTATCACTATTGAATTATCAATAAAGTAAAGTAAAGATATCGTATGAATTATATAAGAAACGATAGGAAATTTATGCCCGTAAATAGTTATGAAGAAATGGCAATTTTATGGCACTCGTATCTGTTGTTGGCAAAGTATAAGGGAAATGAAAAAAATGGGCGTGGGTTTTGTTTTACATCGCGTGTACCTTGGGGAAATGTGCTCGGATTAATTTCACGGTTCAGCATCGACGGAGGCCACCATTGCCACCGCGGACCATTACGATCATGACACGCCACGCCACCGCCTAACACACTTTATTCGATCCCCGTGTTTCTAGAATTTGGGTGATTAAATTTAACGAGGGGATAAAGATATTATCCCCTTTTAGAGGATTACGGTTCCGTTGATTTACAAGTTCGTTTAAATGAAAATAAAGACACGATTACCATTTCACGTTGGGAATTATGAAAGGGACAAATGTTTGGTCAAATACAAAATGAGCATATATTACATTTATGAAATTTATGAAATTAATAATTCAAATTATATTTATCTTTCAATTTCATCGATCGAATTCTATCTCTAGAATCTACGTAACTCCAATCAAATCACAAAAAATCAAAATTCAATATTCCCCTCCGGAAATGGCACAAAATAAGCCCATAATCCGTTTCCACCGAAAAACAAGCCCCCGCGTAAGCCCACGTAATAGCGCGAAATCCAACCACGGAATTAATGAGAGAATAACGAATGGCCGAAAAATTCACTCGTCGAATCAAACTATCGTTCCATTCGGTTGATCCTAGCTCTCAACCAGGAATACAAAATGGCGGTTCCCTTTATCAAAATGGCGGCCTTGCCACCTCCGCCCGTGGTGATTCTCTGATGAATACCTTGGTAAC